GTTTTTATTTTATTTCTGTTGTTAAGTTCAAGATGTTCGGTAAACTAATAAAATATTTAAGCCATTAATTCAACTAAAATGTATTATTTAGTTTTAATCATTTTTACATATTTTTACACATTTTTACGCTTTATACAATTTAAATAAATAGGTAGTTTATATTAAATAGTTTTAAATTTTGAGTTAAGTATAATTTGACAATAATTAGATTTGTTATTAAAAATCGGCGGCAGTAAAGTGCGGTAAAATGTGCAATTTTGAATACGCCAATGAAATTGTGTTATTTCATATGCAGTACTTGAGAGCATGTACAATTATACCTATAATCAAATTTTAAGGGAAAAACATTTTCTTTGTTTTGTTGTCTGTTTTTTTTCGATATTTTAATTTTTAAGCGAGTTATGTGTACGTATAAAATTATAATTAAAAAAAAACTCATAACTTGCTTAAAAATTAAAATATCGTAAAAAACTGACAAATAAAACACAGAAAATGTTCTTCCTTTAAAGTATTATTAAAGGTCTGTATACTTTAATATTTAAACTAACATCAAAACATTTGAACTACTTTACGCAAATTTGCTATGTTGTACAGAAACAATATGGCATCCTCTTAAAATACGTACCGATATCATGTTTTGTCGACAACTTTGTAAACATCAAATCTGATTTTAGAAGGAACCGAAGTGATTGAAATGGCTATTATACATCGGTGATTAATTTAGCGTGTTATTCAATTCACTAGATTCTATTATCTATTTTGATGACATATTTAATAGCTTATAATAAAAATAACATGCACCTAAGCAAAAAAAATAATTTTTCTTTCATTTTATCACGAAAAGAATTGTCAATTTTGTATACGCTATTTTCAAATGTCAACCTCTATTTATCATTTTCAAAATGGCATTGTATGATACGAAACGATAATAGGTATATTATGAAATTTTTAGTAATAATTTATAACCTCAGTTATATTTTTCACTTGAAAATATTTTAAACTCGCCAGGCCGATAGTAAATATAAACCAATTTTTGGTTCCTATGAATAATAACGGTCACCCGATCAAAATATCATATTTTAAATCACCTCTTGTAACATTAAAATATTCTTAAATGTTCAGATATACATAAAGCAAACAAAAATATGAAAAATTAGTCTAAAACAACAAACACGCATTAATATAACATATAAACTAATCATATGTTTTATATTGTTTTGATTATTACAAAAACAAATTTAATTCATAAAGAAATTGAAAATTAAAATACAAATATTACACTTAAATTTAAAACAAGAGAATTATAATTTAATTGAAATAGTCAAGTGCTCAAAAATAAATTTAAGACTAAGAATTTCCAATATTTGTTTAAGTGCTATTATAAATAAATAAGCACTTATATCACAGTAAACAAAAATATACACTTTAAATTTTCATACACAAATAATCAATACTATAAACAGTTTAGTAAAATCACTTCTAAATATAGAATAAGCAAAACAAATATGCAAATGCTAGTATTCTATATTACCTACACCTAGTGATATCCCATTGGAAATGTTCCTGGGAAAATTTTTTCGGGGAATTTTCTTTTAGACTACTTTTCCAACTTTCCTCAATATTACGATTATAATTTTTATATATTAAATTTTTATACATCAAATTGTTTTATTGTGAAAGACTGAATGCAGTACCTTGGTGTATTATTAATATCTATTACTAATATAACTAAATTCGTACTTCATATATAACATCAACTGGGAAAATACAACCTTATCCGTACAACGTGTGGTATGTATGTATATATATATTTATTACATAATATAAAATATCATAATCTGCCTGTCGATACTAGTTGTTTGTCGAATGTCATGTGCAGTGACTAGTGACGTATTCACATTTTACTCCTTTACAAAATTAAATAAGAAGACAGCCCAGTATACTTTTAAACTTAAAATCATAATTACGTTATTTCTAACCGTTTTAAAATGACTAAAAATCTTAATTTGTGGTTAAGTATTTAGTATTTATATTTATTTTTTATTTTTTCATTTTGAATTAATCAAAAATTCCAAAACTTTGTGGTACCGTACATTTTGCGATCTTAAGTATACAATAAGAAATGCGACGAAAATGAAAATTCACTTAATAAAAGCATATAAGAATACACCATTTCAAGTGAAAGAAGAATTAAGTGACATAATGGTTCCAATATTAACTGCAAAAAAACATTATTCAAAAAGGTAACATATTGCTCTGTTTGGAGAACTAATTCATTGAGACTATTTAAATAAAATAATGAAAAAATTAATAATAAAAAAAATAAAAATATAATAATAAAATATTAATAAAAAATATAAAAAAATAATTAGTAGATCTTCATCAACCATCTACTTCCCAGAATTTTGAAAAATTATTCAGTTTAACAAGAAGTTACATAATATTATATTAATTATTATTATTAATTTTTTTTTCTCATTATTTAATTGTATAGTTACAAATAACATAAAAATTAAATATTTTTAAACTTTATATTAATATAGAATTTGAGTCTTTAATATTTTAAAACGTCATATATAGTCAAGAAGATATATAATTTTATTAAAAAAACGAAACATTTTCTACACTTTTCTGACATGGGAAATATTCCCGGACATGTCCATGATTTTACTTTACCAAAAAAGTGCCCTTCCATTACCTATACCGAAATATTTAGAAAAAATATAGGTTTCACTTAATGAAAACATAATACAATTATACAGAATGTTATGATATAATTTATATCTAAGTATTCACTATCACAAATAATTAAAAAACATACTAACAGAGTTTCTATAAAATTAAGAAAATTAATTGATCGCATGGTGTGTGTAGACTTGAAAGCACTGATATTCTGTCAAGCATTTATTACTCTGAACAATATATTTGATTTACTATGTATAATAACATAAGAATAATAGAAATAGAATAAACAAATATTCATTACCATTGAAATCATGAATAATTAGAAGTCAAAAGTTTCGATACATTTTACTGTATTAGAGGTATAGTTAATATTTTATTACGTGGATAACATAGTATTCAAAAAAATACCGTGCCCACCCAATAGTCTTAAGACACGAAAAACGTACATTTTTTGTCTGGAAAAACAAATACAAATGAATCGGTAAAAGAACTTCGGTATTCATCAATTTATAATAACATAAATATTGGTTAGTCTACCTCAATATTTTTTTCAGACGTTCGAAAACATTACTGCAAGGGTCTACACCAAGTATATACGTTACTGAAGATTGAACGCATAATATCCATAATATAGTAGTATGCGATAAGGGTAAAAAAAAAGAATATTAATTATGAAACCGACACATTGTTGTTCACTTCGATTCCTCGAAACTGAAATAATAATAAAATCGACAAAAATGATCGGCCTGTAAGTATCTATACACACGAAAATATGTGACGTGCATTATAAAAACGTAAGATACTTCAGTCTCCTACCGATTACCTACATTAAAGGTTCAAGGATAATACTCGTAAAATATTGTATTTTATAGGTAGATGGTATCATAACGATGTACCCGAAACACCGTACCTACGGAAATAATCTCACAAAACAACAATACAACCACTATACGTAAAGTGTAACAATACGTCGTATAAGGTTATTCGCATCGCAAGGATCGCACCACATACTCGTTCGGATAATGCATTTTTTGTCATAAATTAACAAGTCCTGTGTTAAGATAACGCAAATGCAAGTGGCACCAAATGGGTGCTTTCTGCGGATGTAGACAGGTGTAGGCGACTGAAACCCCATCAAACGACACATTAATATTTCGCAGATAAGCAAGCAAACGTGAAAAAACGTCTAACACATTAACTATATTAAAACGTGGCTAGGTACGCGGTATGGGCTATTGCAAATTCCGCGCACACGTTCCCGTAAGCAATGGGTGGGGGGAGGAAAACGTTAACAACAACGGCTGTCGGGTTATGCCTACACAATGTCAAAGTATGTGCAAGTAGAGGTAACGACGATTTCAAACCGTTGAAATCAATATTTTAAACTTTTCTTATTTGCATTTACTTTCGTTAATTCTTACAAAATTGGCACCATTTATTATTAAATGTTGATAGTGCAATTTTACATCAATAAGTAAAAAATAAATATGCCGTATAACATAAGATAAAACAATTTTAATTTCGCAAAGCTACATTAATAAATTAATTTCAAGTGAAAACTTCGCACCCCATGAAATATTGTACGGAGTAGAACCCTAATAAAGGTATAAATAAATGTACAAAGGTGAAGAGGCAACCGTTTCTTAATTCTTCTCGTAATGTAATTTCAAGAAAAATAGTTAAATATATATAAGAACGACGGAACCCAATTATGACAATAACAAAAATTAACCACAAACTAAAAAAAAAAAAAAATGTTTTACCTCGTATCTACGCCCTAGTGTTAAGGGCGGGCCATCGTCGCTTGCCGAGCGACGGTAAATCGTAAAGAATGAAAGTAGAAACTCAACACGACAAACGTAAATGTTAAAAAAAAAAAAAAATTAGACCAATTGACTTGTCACAATGACGGCGGTAAAGGAGCTAAATCTTAGGCGGCGGCGAAGGAGTAGGACGGACGCTGGAGGATGAAAACGACCTAACCTAACCACGATGTAAGAGAACGGGGGAGGGACGAGAGGGTTGGTCCACGACCGTTCCGTTTCAAACATAGAAAGAAGCACGAAAAACGGAAAAAAAAAACAAGGACGGGATGAGAAATCACCACTTCCTCCTACACCCGATTTGAAACGTTTCGAGTACACTGTCCAGTCGTTCGGACGACGGAAAAGTCCGGAAATCGGCGGGCAAGGGCGTGCGCGCGCGTTCGTTACCGTCACGCATCGATCAGCTACCGTGGTCGAAACGCTGCCGCGCGAACACCACGGTTATATTAAATGTTTGTTATTTACTGCAGACAAGAAAATCGCTCTTACCGCCGGTCAACACGACTTTGTAGAGCTTCTTAACTTTGCCGTCCATCGCCCCGACAATAACGACAAGATTGACGAGAACGCAAACCGCGTGCAACGAAGACCCGTCGACAACTGGCGCGTTGGTGATCACGAGTTACTGCGGCAAACGATTGCGACTGGCGGGGTGGCGAGTAACGGCCGCGCTCCACAACGACCATGTGACTTGTATGCGCAGCGAGAGCGTCGTTCACTTGTTGTGATGGTGACGGCCGGAGTTCACGATGATCGCGAAAAAACGGAGAGACGGTTTGCAAGGTTTTCCGACAGCAAAGCACATGGTTGTGGCGGTGATGGGTTAGTGAATCCGAAATCCCGATGTTCGTTCGACGAATGACAATGTGCGAGAACGGGGAGAATAAAACCCGTGTTAACGCGCGCGCGATCCGACGGTGCGGACGAAACGACCGACGTGCAACGCACCCAGTGGTCGCCGTGTATCTGCCGAGCACCGACGACCACAGCGGTTACAATTTTTATTGCCCAGCGCTCGGCTGCAACTCTACCGCTGCAACTGCTACACCAGCTGAGCCCGGCTTATCACTAACGGCCGACGATAAGGTGATCCCCGATAACGCGCGTGATAAGGAAAAAAGTTCTGTGGCGTTGAAATGGAAAGTCCATTCCGTCGAGCAGCCGCAGAACGACGCAATATCAATCGAGATAGATCTTACGACACCACGGATGCCGTTTCGTCGTCCACATTACCGTTTAATTATTTACGTCGATTCCGTGTGCGAAACACGAACTATGTTAATGTCGGTTCGCGCCTTATCGCACAATCACCGTTGTCGAGGGACACGAGACGATAATGCTGTCCGAGCGCGATCTCGTGCTCCTCATCACAAACTAAACAATGCCATCGTCTCCGATATCCCATCAAGCCTCGTATAAACGTGAATACATTAGCGTTTTGACCTTTACTATTCGTCTCAGCACCATACAACGGTACCGTGTAGTAAATACGTGTCACCACTTGTCCCGTACCTACTTGATGATTGATCGTCATTTTTAACGCTATGTTGTACAGTTAATTTCCATAGAAACGTGTAATACTTAAAATTATGTGGTCTTTCAGTAAACGCCAAGTTCTGTAATATTCTTACACTTATGTGCGTGCACTGTGCGATAATGTTATGTCCCGGGTTTACACGTGTCATGAAACCAAAACGTCAAAACTCAATTTTTCTCATCAATTATGGTGACTGTCTAAATGATTTTTATAACCAAAAATCACTCATTATGGACCTAATTAACAAATTAATTGGTTTGACTTTGATTACGCTTCATATTTTTCTCTAACGATACAATCAGAACGATGTATCAGATTAAATATACATGTGATACATAAATAAATATATTTTAAGCCCTGCACATATCCAGTTATAAAATTCATGAATTTATGATAAATTCTGTTTTTATATTCTTGTGTTATTATATTATTTATATTAGCGTTTTTCCAGTATTAAATAATGTTCAATATTACAATATGATGTAATTCTCCCGTATGATACTAAGATTTGTGTTCATAAAATTATGAAATTATTATAAGTAAAAAACGTTAAGTAAATTGAATTATATGTATTTATCGGAATATTTATTTCTCGCTATTCTTGCGGTTAGGAAATATTTTTATAGATAAGTAATATATGAAATCGGAGGCTTTAAATTGTTTTTTTTGAAATTCTGGATTATCTTAGTAGGACGTCTTTTTCAAGCGTGTCAAATCAAATTCGATGTACTGTGAGTTATTTTTTAAGTATTTTAGTTACTGAACAAAAAATTAAGAGATCGATATTATAAGGTGAACAATAAAAAATAAGTAACTACTCCTAAATTGTACAAACGACATGATCAAATCACGATTATAGATACCTATTTATAATGGTGGTTCAAATACATCCAAGGAACGACTTGGCCAGATCAACACTCAATCCGCAATGCAGACAATTACAATGGTGGTCGAACCAGGGCCGGATTATGGTTATAATACGAGAGGGCAAAAAATAATTTCATTTGTTTTCATCAGACTTAGTTATTTGTAATAGATATTCATTAAAATAAGTTTAGTTTATTTGTATATTGTTGAAAATTATAATAACATTTTATTTTTTTAACATATTTATTTAATGAAATTTTATATGGAAAACAATTTGACAGCTTTTTGTGGCCCCTTTCAACTTGCACCTCCCCCGCCCCCTTGATCCAGCCCTGGATCAGATGCTTCGTAATCTATACGTGTGTTTCGGTTACTCGGTTTCTGCGTATTAAGCCCGTTCGAAAATCGTCATTGTATGCACGCGCGTGTGTATGAATTAGTTGGTAGGTGTTATGGCCAGGCTAAGCAAAATGTACCGATCCCGCGTGAAATTGGCGGTAAATAGATAACAAAAAGAAATTTTTTATCATCAATCGCGGAGTCGTTATCCATTTGTCAGTTAATTTGTCGTTATTTGCGCACTCCTTCTCTTCAAACAACAATACGGAAAAGCGAACCGGGGCCGTGTTCCGAACATTTTACTCGTTCAGAGCGGTTTTACAAAATATCCCTGTGGGACAGTGACTGCGCGATATGGCGAATTACTCCGATGTTGATGATTCCAATGATATCGACGATCCCAATGAATTGGATGATCTCAATGACACGGACGACTACCTGGACGAGTACTCGGACTCGGAAGACGAAAAAAAACTCATACTAAAGTCATCCGGTATCAGCAATGATTATTGTTGCAAACACAAATGCCTGTCGACGTTCGACGACGAGTATAAGTCGCGCATGAAGTCTGATCTGGCGCGGCTGGACCAGTTGACCAGAAACGTTTATCTGTTCGCGATGATCTCCATTGGTGCGGAGAAGAAGCGCTGTGGTAAGGTAATCAAGTCTTCAAAGGCTTTTCAGTACGCTGTTAAGGAGTATGGTGTATTGCGGTATGTATGCAAAACTGCTTTTGTTCTCCTGCACGGCACAACATTATCGCTGGTGCGCACATTGTGCAAGAAGATGGCTACCAATCATCTGATACCATTAGACAACCGAGGCCGCCATGAGAATCGGCCTACTATAACTAAAGAAATCCAAGAGCAGATAAAGATACATTTTTTTGAAACCTTGCACTCTCCCAATGTAAACATATTTAAAAATTATTTTCCCCCGAAAATGATCTAATTGATGATTTTTTTAAATAGATTTTTAAATGCACTAAGAAAAGACTTGGCACTCCAAACATCAATCAGTTGTGGTTTGATTTTACTCAGAAATACGGTTAGTTTATCAATTACCACTACATATAATTTTTAAATATCTATTTCAATCATGTTTGCTATACCTCAAATAGCTTATAAATAACTATTAATAGTTATATAAATATAACTATTAACAGAATACTATATCATTTTTGTACACAAAACTATAGCATTGTTATGTAAACCGGCTCACAATAGCATAGTAGATGTATTTCTGTAATAATTCTGTTATAGATTATTTATTTCTAACTTTTATACATAGTAATTTTTTTAGTTTTTAAATGATCAGTGTGTATAATAGTCACCAAAAATTGAATTTTTAGTTCTCAGAAGACAATATATATCTCAGGAATTGTAAGAAATTTTTATAAAGTTCTTAAATTATGATATTTAAAAAAAAAATTTAAATGTATTCCATTTTCAATGAATGAGATCCATTTTTAGTTATAAAATGTTACAATTTTAATATTTATGTTATTCACACTTATAGAAATCCAATAACAAACATACTACTTGTTGATATTTTATGTAATATTTCATAGTTATATATTCTCAATTATTTAATGTATATATTACTGCTATAAACTACATAGCCTATTATTCAATTACTATATTAAAAAAAGACCTTTTTATTATTTGTTATAAGTTATATTAACTAACTACAAGTAATGTACACATTATATGTATTAGTGATTTTTAACGTTTCTCAACCCCCTGAAAAAATTATTTGAATTCAGTTATTATTTAATGTTTCAATATTAATTATAAAATTATTCCTATCATTATGATATAAGCACAAATTATAATTGTTTTATTATTAAAAAATTTAAAAATCTGATTTTTGGACTGTTTGAAAAACATTTAAAGCTCCTCAAATGGTCATTGAGTAACAGTCTATAGATTTTTATATTATAAGCTGTATGACTTGTTTTAATTTTGACTTTGTTCCTTAATTATATACTACAATTATTATTTTTTATAATAGTATGTTAAAATGTCTAACATAAGAATAGGTCTTAAAGACTTTGTGTTGTATTTTTACCTTTAACTAAACTATTCTAATTATTATGATTCCAGGTCGCTTAGCTCGAACCACATATGTAAAATACATTTGTTCATTATTAACACCAGACATTTTACATAAATTTATGTGCGCAAACGAAGCAAAAGGAATTTTAAACGAGATTAAAGAATTTAATAAAAAACGCTCAAAAAAAAAAAATGAATTAAATTTTTAAATACATATTCTTTTAATGATAAGAGGACTTATAATGTAATTATTAGTGATTAATTGTAAATAAGTATTATTGATAAGCTATGTACTATGTTTGTTTATTAATTTAATAAATATATTATGATTACACTAAGAGAGAATATCAGAGATAGGTCAATTGAAAATTTGGATGATATCCATATTGTTTGTTACATAAGAACTAAGTTTGTGGGTCAATTGAGCTTATCATTAAAATATGCGGAAGTATAAAATGTTGTATAATACAAACAAAGAAATGCTAACCGGAGCAAAATAACCTGTGAACCAAATCATTAATGTCCAATCAACTGATACTGTTATAAACAATATAATTATTTGTTTATATCACGTAATATGTAATAGTTTATAATATTAGTCTTGTGACAAATATTAATATATTATAATTAATATTTTTGCTGCCATTTCATTTGATAAATAATTTAAATATTTTATACTAAACAAATTATAAAAGAGTTGGTTCATTATTTGATCTAGGTTTTTTTTTTTTTTTTTTTAATTTTAAGACTTGAAAATAATTTTATTAGCTCATTTGAGGCATCCTAGTGGCAAGTAATAGTTTTTGCTCTTAAGAACCCAGCAACTTTAGTTAATATTTGTAAGGTTTAATTATGTGAGAGTTGTGAGAATATGAAATGTCAAATCGCTAAACACTAAAAATATATCTCCCACCTAAGAACTAGAGTCTGGAGGATTTCGACCAGCTGGCAACTGATCAACCTTACCATGCACCGAATTTATAATTTGAAAAAAAAAGATTGACTTTATAAAACAATAAAAACCCATTTTTTAAAGTTTTTGAAACTAAAATTACCTAGTTAATATAAAATGTAGCATTTATATTTAAATAAAGTCAATTTATTTTAAGAGTATTTAATTTCTTTTAAAAAGTTGCATTTTTTATATTACGGTTGTAAAGCATTCAAAATTATTATTTCAAATATAACAATTTTTAAGTAATATTATTTATAATCAATGATAATACTTCAGGCATTTATACAAAATAATATTGAGGAAGTTTAAGTTGTACATTTTCATACTTATAAAATCTATAAACCACCATTACTCTATAAAATTATATTTAATATTTTCCTGAATTTCAGGAGAGAGGGTTATTGAACCTTGTATATGCACCTGGGAACATATTTTTATGCATGGAAATTATCTATCCTGTTAAAGCAAAAAACTTTATCTGGGTAAGCATATATTATATTAAATTGTAAAAATTGGTCTTTTAAACTTTAGGGAACTCTAGAATTCAGTATTAAAACCAACTAAAACATTACTTTAACTTGTTTCGTACAAATTACAAAAATGGTTTTATTTTATAGAAAAAAATAACAATTTTCTTTATATTTCGCTGCAATAACATTCTATTTTTTTCTAAGTACGTAAATTATACTTGCATAATGTTCAATTACAGTAGTTATAATGTACAAAATTATATTCCCCAGACATTTCCTACTTATTATTGTTACTCATTTCAAGAAAAATAAAATAAAAATTCTATGAAATATAATTTAACTGGCATACATTTACATTTGATAATATAAATATCGTTAATTATCGACAATAGTGGAATTTTCTTTCATATCTATGTTCGTACATTCAGAGCGCAATCAACGATGTAAAATTTGTCATTTATAATTGATATTTTTACTATTTTCATCTACAAGTTCAAGTAGATAAGTTCTATGATTTGGTCAGACAAAATAATTAATTATTTAACCTTGTATACTTACAATAGGTGTAGGTAATATTACATTGGTATATGTGTGTATGTGTACTTTATTTTTATAAACACAAATAGCTAACAAATTTTTGAATCAATTTTGTTGCAATACACCACTTATGTATTATTGTCATAACAGGTTAAAGATAATTTTAAGATCTATTACATTTTAAAACAAACAAAACTGTAGACAGTACAATTTTACAAAATAAGAGGACATTAAGAAAAAAAAAAAAAAATACAAACTTTTATGAAAAATTATGTTTTACCCGTATTTTAATTCTAACAACCAAAAATGCTATAATATATATTATTATTATTATGAATAGTATCTTATAATAAGTTTAATAAATTGCTTAAATGGAAGATAGTCAATATTACACAACTATATTAGTAAGTTGGTGTTAGAACACTTAAAAAGCTCTTAAAAACCACTTCTATAACAATGTGAATTATTATTACAGCCAAGTACTTAACAAGTATTGCATAGTTAAAAAAAGGGGTCAACAAGGCTTTTTAATAATTATTTATAGTTCAATATGCAAACAATTTATTTAAGTTTTGTGAGTCAGTGTACCTATTAGCTTACATCTACAAATAAGATATAATATGTATTCTGACCATTTTATTAAATTTTTGGTAACTTTGGTCTTACAACTAATGGGTTGTTTTTTTCAATAGAATCACGGCCATTTTTCTGATAATCATAAGAGCAATTGTGCGATTCTGAATACCTGAAACATAATAAAAAGTAAAAGAATTAAAGCTGACAATTATAATAATTCGTTAGATTTGGATTTCATTTGGATTTTAGTAAAAATAATAAAAATACAAATATGGCTACAAAATAATCATATTACAAATAGCAATGATAACAAAGCAAAACAAGTAAAACATATATTCTACATTTTATCTCTAAAATATTTATAACTTGTTTAAAAAATAATATGTTATTATAATTAATGATTATTAATTAGGAAAATGTAAATTATTAATTATTTCAATTAATTTAAAACTTACCTGTGTTCAGGACAAAAAGTGAGCCCACATCGGCATGTATACTGAGCACTAATAGTTAATTTCTTATTGCATTGGGCACATCGTTTTTTCTTTTTTTCTACAACTTGATCAGGTACATTCTGGTTCAGATCTTCAGTTACAGTGGTTGGAGCTTTTTTATCCAATCTGTTACTTTCTGATTCCATAGGTTCTTCGTCACCATCAAGTTGAATAGGCATGTCTGATCTATTTAATATCCTATGTATAGCTCCTAACCCAGAATTATTTGATATAGACATGGCAGTCATTTGCTCAGTCGGTGATGCTTGTCTAGACACATTGATGTGAATGTTATGAGACAATACCAATGATGAACTGCTAGGGCGCCTAGACCAATCTGTGCTTGACACTTCAATATCTGTACCAGATTCTGAAATACTAAAATCAAACAGTCAATAAATAAATGGAAATTAAATTTTATTTTGATTACAAATTTTGGTAATAAATTGTATTATTGTTGTTTATCGTTTATTGTTGTTGTATTATTGTTTATCTTTAAGTATTTATAAAAAAATAAAACTTATGATCAATAATATAAAAACAAATAAATATGTAATGTTTTATTTTATTAAAATCTAAATTGATATTTCAATATATTATAACAGTCAATGGATAATGTTACATATTCTAATGTAGCATATAATGAATATTGTATTAAAATATTATTAGTGAAGAAACAGATACTCAGCAGTTTGATAAGGAATAAAGATTTTTATAATCTATTAAATATTTGATAAAAAGTACATCAATTAATTTTACTGACAGTAGGTAAACAAAATAAAAATAAATAAATAATATTTAATTAAAACTATTATATAATACATATAATAAATAAGAATATAATAATTTAATTACCTGTCAATACTTGAAGTACTACCAGTATGTCTAGGATCATTCATAATATGGCAAAGTTGTCTAGTTGTAGTTGATTTCGTATTTTTATCTGAACATGCACTAGTAATTGTTGGCAAAACAGGTATTCTTGAGAATTCAGCACTACGAACATACTTCCCCAAAACAGGTGAGGAAGATTGTACTATTTTAGGTAATCTCCAAGTATGTCGCTTGCTGCTATCTTTTTCAGTCTTCATTTGTGATCTTTCAGGTGCTGAAGCCGATTTTCGATGTTCAGATTTGGTTCTTTTTAACTGAAAAAATTTGATCATTTTAAAATGCATTAAATAAAAAATAAAAAAATATTATTTAAATAGAATAAACAAATTAAGTATCATAGAAATATATTTATATCTAGGTAAAAATATTAAATTATTTGTGGTCAGATATACATGGTTTTAATTAGAAGAATGAATAAATAAAAAGAATAAATCATCTTTTCTTTTCATGTAATATTCAATACATTAGGTGTAAAATAATTCATCATGCAATATAGTCATACAATTAGGTGAATAATTAAAATTAAGTAGAGCATGAAACAAATTATTCTAGTAACTTTTCCTTAATTTCTGAAAAAACTAACTAATTAATTTTATATTACAGCATACATAATCAAAATAATTAAATTATATGTAAATAATAAAATAATACAATTTGAATATCCATTAAAATAAAATTATTATCATTTTAACAATTATATACATAGAAATAATTTTTCAAAGGATAAGTTTACATTTTTTTTATACTTGTACTTTTAATGCTTAGTTTATCAATTTAATAATTTAAGTTATGGGAAACTAATTACAATTACAGTAAAACCCCTCTCGTCCGTCACTCTGGTTGATCCGACCATAGTATTATCGATATGAATATGTATTTTCCAATTTATAGTATATGGATATATATATTTATAAAATTAATTGCCTGTTTACTATTTATCTATTTTTTATTTATTCAATTTAATACATGTAGGTAGTAAAAATAAAATTTAATAAATAAATTTGGTAACATTTTGTCTTCAAATGTTTCTTTATATTCTGATAATTCGACTTTTTTCGCGTTCCAACCACACCCTCAGTCCCAAAGGTGACAGATTAGAGGGGTTCTACTGTATACAATTTTAACATAAAAATATAATTAAAAGAACAATATTAGAACTCATCCAATATTGATCATCGAATTAGTAATCAATATATTAATATAAGTAAAAATTACATTTTAATAATTATTTTGAGCAGAGCTTATTTTATTATCCATGTTAATATTAATATTTAATCCACAGATAAATTAAAGTTAAAAAAAAAATTAAAATATATTGTAAAAAATTAGGAATCATAGGAAAAAAAAATCATAAAGAAATTTCAATTTTTAAACCTACTTGACATTAAATTAATTAAAATGTGAAAAAAGTTTTTTAATAAAATCAATATTGGTACCGTACAAAATTATTTACTTTAGATTTTGATGAAATAGAAAGTGTTTCTAATTTATGTTTCAACTGCATCATCTTACGATATGTCACATTATTGTCGACGGACTGTTTAGATTTTTTCTTTTCTGGTAGTTCTACTGTTGATATTTTTCTAGACATAATATTTTTTTTCATTTATATTGTATAAAAATTATGAAATATTAATAAACACACCTAGAGGAGTCCTTTAAATTCGTTATAGAACCATCACTATTTTCAATCACTCGAAGTAAGTTAATTACTTCACCTTCACGAAATATCAAGACAGCAAGCTTACTGCCTGGAGGGGCATCTTCCAAAATTTCTTTTCTGTAAAATTAATTGAGCAATAAAATATATTAACTAATAAACATGGGTGATGTGTTTAATTCATTCTTTAACCACAAATATGTTTTTTTTTTATATCTGTATACACGTTATCAACCAGAAGGTTTGCTCCAAACATAATTTATTATCATTTATCAAACTATTTATAAGCACTTGAATTTTTTTCAAAGCGTAGAACATTAAATGTTCAACTTATTTTGTTAAGAAATTGATTCTATTAAAATATTAACTGTTCAGAAATACATTTCATCCATATATCACTCAGAATGATATTTTGAGAGCAATGATACATTAGTTACAAGTTTAAAAGATTAATACAGCAAAATTATTTAGTCATTCCTGTATCTCACTCTAACTAGACATTTTTGGTTATATTTAATGATAAATACGTAAAATTAAGTAAAAACTCATATATTTCAAAAATAAGAAACTATACAATATTTCATTGTAGCATTTTATAACAAAGAATGTAAACAAATAATTAAATTAGTTTTTTATTATATAACAGAAAAGTTTTTAATTTTTATACAATAACATATATTATTTAAAAGACATAAATATACAAATTTAATTTAATAAAAACATTTTTAACTATCTTTTATTTTTCTATTATAGCTATAGGTTTATAGAAAAACTGTACTTGATTTTTTATTAAAAATAATAAAATAATTTAGAAAATTATAGTATTAAGGTTTTACATAAAGAGTATTTTAGTTTAAACTTTAATACTTTAAACAACAAAATATGAATTAATTTAATTAATTGTACCACATAATTATAAATTAACAGATTTTACTAACTTGTTGAGATTAACCAGTTGTCGAATGGTTTCATTATCCAGAGGCAACATTCTACGACTTGTACCAATAGGTCCTCCTTGAAGCGACAATACCAAGCGCAATGTCGCTCCATCATGAAGATTATTACTAGCTATAGTTGAATGATCTGATAAGATTTTTTCACCCAGTAGCAAATGTTGTTGGGCGACTGGTATACCTGATTAATCATAAAAATATTAACTGTAGGTATTATAAGTATTATTTTATTTTATAATAATAAACGGGTTCGAAACTCTTTTGAAAATGTATACTAATTTATACTAAGTATTATACTAAGGAGATGAATATACTACAAACCTTCAACACGTTGTATTCGTGACTTTAATGAACTTATATAATCGGCTGGAGATACAGTGATCTCAAATGCAGTACCAGTTAATGTTTCAATAGTAAGAGATATAGGCGAATCATCCAATTGGTCGTCATCAGGATTTGATCTCCATTTTTGCTTGCGTGACATACCTGGATGAATTGACTAGGTATAATGTTTAGTATTATTGATGTTGCCTGTATAACATTATAGGTAACATCAACACCTGGAAAAACGACATTCATATTAACGATGACATCATCCATTGCCATAAATGGTGTAACAAAGTTCATTGGCTATCAATCTCTCGAGATTATGATACATTGGTGTTATTTATTACAAAGAGATACTGCATGACCTTAAGCTTCGGAGCCAATTAGAAAATTATAAGCATATTTGTCCGAGTTATTGTAATTTTTATTATTATAAGACGCATTATTAGCAACTATATTACAGTAGGTAGGTAATGTATAAACAACAGGTACTTACTGCTCGTCGTGTTCGTACACGTACAAAGGAACTTTTCGTTTATATTAGTAATATTTCACTAATTAGAGAATACAATATTTCGGTGTAGTTTGTCGTCAGCACGTTAACCCTACGTGACTCCGAACAACAAGACGGCTCATAGGTGACGACGACTACTACTACTACTACTACTACTACTATCACTACAATTACTGGTTCGACTATATAACAATAGCAGTAGTCGCGCGTGAAGGGAACGACTCGAATGCGGAAATAAAATTTCACCGTAGGTGGTACTTCAGTCAACTTCGGTCAGTAGGTGATCGAACCGACGATAATAACGATTTAATATAAGTAAATTTTATTTTATAAAAGACAAACACAAACAGGCGTTGAAATGATAATGAAAGTGAAAAAAAAAAAAATAATACTAATAATAATAATAAAAACCCGATACAACCACAGTCGCGGCCGCCGACGAGAAGGACGACTTGTGTAGTTGTGTGCCTATCAATGAAATCATTAAATTATGTGCGTCGAAAATGAAAAAAAGGTGACGACGATCAAGTTGAATGACGACGACTGCGGATTACGGAAAGGTGTGTAAGGGAACAGAGAGGTAGAGTGGGGGGGGCCGGAACGGAAATGTTATGTGGAGAGATAATAAATTAAAGCGAAAATGAAATAGAAACGACAATGGCCGATGCCACACGACGACCGGTCGAGATATTACCGTGTGCTCTGCCACCGTAGGCGATATCAATTTCTCTTCCAACGATGGTGACGGGTTTCCATCGATCGTGAGAAATCGAATACTTTTCCGGTGAGATTTTCCGTTTGGTAGGCCGCCGATGGTCGCCCGGGCCGGCCGACGACAGTGACAATCGATAACCCGAACGTTTTTGAAACGATAATAACAATAATATTTTGATACGCACGCAAGCCGACAGCGACGCATCGGAGGGGAAAACTAGGAAGTGGGGGACCGTTTGATATACTTGTGTTTGTTTTTTATTTTCGGTTTTCCCCGCTCTCCGCTGCCGTCGACGCAACGTGATAGCGGTTGGTTGCACTGCGCATGATAATCGCCGCGCAAAAATAATAAAAAAACCACTCCAACCGTGTTCGTTTTTTTTTTATTGCATTCGATATTTGTACGAACAATTATGATCCACCGTCAACGCGACTGGCCGATCATCATTTTTGCAACCGTAGTCCCGGGAATCCTGGATTTGATAATAGTGTCGATCACAGATATCGAGAAGCTCGATATCTAACCTCGGAAACAACTGAAGAAATACGCAGCGATCATCGTGATGGGTAAACCCCGGTAAACATAATTTTAGGTAAATACTGGGTATTTACCCGATAAATTGGATAAATTAATTTTTAATGCCAAAACCAATCAATGGATATCACAATACTTTTTTACGATTGTTTCCTGACTTTTTCATGTTTTTCCAAGACTGATGATTAGAGTACATAAATTTATGAAGTTTTTGTTAATTTTATTCACTTTGGCAAATTTGAATATTTTACCATAGGAATTACGTAGCACACTTATTGTCTTTATCGCGATGGTAATGCTTTCACACAGAATCTTTTACCCGACCCATGACTAAAAAAAACTATTACTAAACTAAATAACATTTGACAAAAGAACGTGTATTGATCAGTTAGTAGTAGTATAAGTCAGAGGTTCCCAAACTTTTACAACCACCGAACCCTTAAGAAATATTTTTTGTTTCGTGGAACCCTAACGTCTCTAACTCCAACTTAACACCAATTCTGTAATTATTTGTATTTGCAATTATTTTTATTATTGAAAAACCAATAATCCAAAAAATATTTTAAAAATAGTTCATGATTATTATTTACTACAATTACTGTTCTCAATATTCAGGTACATCTGGCGGAACATTTAAGATTATCCCACGGAACACTTAGGTTCCGCGGAACACACTGGAAATCGCTGGTATAAGTTATAGCAATGATTATAGAATATATATATTCTATAATCAATGGTTGTAGTATCAGTTATATGATATCGATACCTATCAGTAATAAAAATAGAAATATACAGTTTGACCAGATTAAAAAAAAGAAAAGTATTTACCCAAATTTTTGATAAGTAAATATAGTGGGTAAATACCCAAAATATTTACCTACCCGTCGGGTATTTATTCACAGCACATCAGTAAGCGCTCAACATATAAACCATCATAAGCGTGCCCAGGATCGAGATGTAGGACAGGCCTAGTTATAATTATTTTAATAATGTATAGGAATACATTTTATTTATTTTTTTTTCGTTAACTTTTCATAACATTTTTAAATTTAATTAGAAAAAAAATTGATCGTATAATGTAATATAACACAACTCCTCTTGTTTAGCTTGTTGATAGTATTAAATGATATTAAAAAGTAAATAATATTGATATGAAAAATATTGATAATAACTATTTGAAAACTGGGTAGGCCCAAGCCTGTACCTACGAAATAATCAATATAAATTACACTACTCAAGTAATTAATTACGTTTTTTAAACAAATAAACAGCATATTCTATCAGACGACTGAGCAAGGGCGTCCATAGGGGAGAAATAGGGCGTCCATAGGCAGTTTCCCTCCTTTGACCTTTTCTGGGTCAATTATCATAATCGCTGAGAATTTAACACACTAAAAAAATTTAAAAAATTCTGGACAATGGAATAAATTATTTTTATAATATCAATATAAATTATAATATAAATTTGGTAAAAATAATAATATACATTTTAAACTTTTAAACAATCGTAAAAATTTTTACAAACAGAAATTATGGTTCTAAACTTTTTTATTTGTAAAATTGTTTTTTTTTTATAAGTTTAGAAAATATATTTGCCTGCATATAGGTATAGACAGTATAATTAGTTAAATTTATATAAAAATCATTTACATTGTACAAATTTTAAAATACAATTTCAAATTAAAAAAAAATGTAAAATAAAAAATTTCTTATTCCATTTGTATATGTTATAAAATGAGTATTGTGTAGATTCGGGAAAACAATGCAGTGTATGCAATGGGCATACAATAGTTTCAACTTTTAACGTTTTTTTTTGTTATCAATGATTGAATAAGCTGGGAACATTTAGGCCTTAGAGCCGTATTCATAGTCGATTGTACCTATTGCTTAGAAGTTGACGGAAAACATTAAAAAACGACTTAATGAGATTCATTAATGATACTTTGGATAAGAAAAGAAAAAGTATAACTTAAATTAAGGTTGGCCGAGACCTACATTAAACATTGCTTTAAGTTATTATTACAAATTTTTATTTTGTAAACATCAAAATTAGCTTAAGCGTCTGACTTTTGTCCGGAATGCGTGTGCTTCTGATCGGGAAGACGAGATGAGAGCGCGGAAGCAATCAGCTGGTGAAGGCATTATTTCATATATACAACCGAAACTCAGAATGTGCAGGGCGCTTGGTCATTCCTTTGAAGTTATGAAAGATTATGTGTTTAGACGGCTACAGTCTCGAGAACTGGTTCTGTATGCTGTTGGGCGAAGACATTTAGACGGACGATTTGTTGAACGACCTCTTTAGTTAGGAGAGGATGTATTCGTTACATGAACCAATAGTAAACAATCTCAAGGTGAATGTGCAGTCAAGTAGGAAGGGCGCTTCTTTCCGACGACCATGGGGTGGAAGAGCTATTATTACGGATAGATTGCAATTAAAAGAAAAGGTTGGAACTGCTGTTGCTCCACAAGATGACCTGCAAGAACTCAAACGGCCTGTTAGCTGTTGGGCGTGTCGTAAAACAGGACATCTGTCTCGGGACTATCCGAAGAAACAGAAGCGGAAGACTGTATGTTTTGGCTGTGGTGTCGAAGGGCATATCCGCTCAAATTGTCCTGATAGAAACCAAACAAGTATAGCGGTTGTGTCCCGAGAGACGGTTAGTCATCCTTACAGGCGGACCAGCAGTATTAATGATTGCAAGGTCGACATTTTTCTAGATACTAGTAGTCACCACACTCTCATAAAGGCAAGTATTGCTGTACGGTGTAGGATCCCTACTAAACCTGCTTCTCGACCTCTTTATGATATTGGGAGTATCACCGTGTCTTCTGTAAACGCGGTTGGTGAAGCTGTGGCTGATCTAGTGGTGGATGAAGTGAATCTTGGAAGATATAGATGTTGGTGGTGCCGGATTCAGTGCAGAATCCTGATGTTATAGTAGGGAGATTATGGTTGGACTAACCGACAGTGGCCTATCGTAAGGCAGATGGGCGACTTTATATTTATGAAGCAGAGTCGATTACTGGAATTGTGACCGTTGGAGCTGCGAGCCATGATCGTGAATCCGATTATCTTCATTTGGTGGAAGTGAGTGGTGAGCCGCCTGTTCGTGTGCCGTTATTATTGGAGGAATTTGTGTATGTCAACGAACATGTGACTGTAGAAAAAAAGGACCATTTGATGAAACTGCTGAATTAATATCGTGATTGTTTCGCCAAGAGCCTTGACGAGTTGGGTTGTGCACCTCTGATGCAGGTAGATATCCATGAAATTCCAGGGAGCACACCTGTTGTGTGTCGTCCATACAAGACTTCTCAATTCGATCGAGAAGAAATCCATAAAATTGTCGTGGACTGGAAAAGGTGTGGGTTGGTCAGCGAAACGATTTCTCCCTATGCGAGTCTTGTATTGCTAGTAAAGCAAGGTAGGAATAGCCGGCTGTGTGTGGATTACAAGAGCCTCAACAAGTAAACGATAAGACAGCACTTTCCTCTTCCTGATATGATGGAACAACTGGAATCCCTAGCTGATAGCCGCTTATTTACTCAATTGGACTTGGCTAGTGGCTATTTACAGATTCCTTTGACTGAAGAGGCTGCAATGAAGACTGCGTTTATTATGGCTGATACGACTGGACAGTTTAATCGAATGCCGTTTGGATTGTCAGTAGCCGTCGCCGAATTCACCTGACTTATGCAGCTTGTGTAGGTCCGCTCCAAGGACGAGTTGAACGGAACTACCTGGATGACATGGTTGTTGACGGCAAAGACTCGGCCGACATGATGTTCAACCTGCGTACAGTATTGAGCAAGCTGCGAGAAGCACGGTTAACCTTGAAACCCTCCAAGTGCTCATTTGGGGCTTACCGTATCTAGTTTTTAGGGTTCATAGTGGAAGGGGGAGAGATCCGTCCAGGCTTGGAAAAGGTACAGGCAATTGACGAGTATCCTTCTTCCAAGGATGTTCATGAAGTAAGGAGATTCCTGGGCCTTACAGGGTTTTTCAGGCGGTTTGTGGCTAGATATAATGTGGTGGCTGAGCCGTTGACGCGCCTGATGATGAAAGACCGGAAGTTCCAGTGGTCCGAGGAACAGTAGACTGCGTTCAACTCGCTGAAACAATGTTTGTCTGGGGACACCGTGCAAGTTATGTTCCGGAGGAATTCGAGGTCACAGAACTCCATACCAACGCGAGCACAGTTGGACTAGGTGCACATAGCAGTCTGATGGGAAAGGCGATCCGCTGTGGATAGTGCATTGCGCAAGTCGAAAAACAAGCGATGCCGAGACCCGATACTATTCTAGTAAACTGAAGTTACTCTGTGTAGTATGGGCCATGTATAGGTTAAGACAATTTCTCCTCGGGTTAAAATTCGTCGTTTACACTGATTGCCAAGCGCTCACCTACTTAAATAGCAACAAGAGCTTGAATG